TTTAATGAAATTCGATTTATATTTATTCAATAATAATATTATTTTATTAACAATTCTTTTATCATATGTCTTTAAGGCATATATTACGAATGTATTTATTATATTTTTAATTAATTTTTATAAAAAAATTATAACTGTTAATTTTAATTTAATTATTAAACTAATTGAAATTATTTACATGACAATCATAGTAAAATAAATATCTATGTTTATAATTTTTTATATAAATTAATTGTAAAATAATACATTTATTATATTTTTAATATATGCTCTTAAAATATAAGTTAAACAAACTTTTTTTTATCAGTTCAATAAAAATAGAGATTTACTTATACATAAGTCTTATACACCACATTTATATAAAATCTTAATTATTTATCTTTTAATTTTTAATAGCTGAGATTCATTTATATTTATTAAAGATAATTATTTTTTACCTAAAAAATCGTGACAAATCTTAATTATTAAAACTAAAAAAATGAATAATTGAAATTTTATATAAATGTAATATATAAAACTTGTATATAAATAAACCCCAACTTATTCAATAAAATTATATCTTTTTATACAATCTTATATTAAAAAGCATTAATCTCATTAAATAATCACAACCATTTTTATATAATTATAATGTGAAAGATTTATATGTAAATATATCTCTACTTTTATTAAATTATTTTTTAAAATAAAAAAATAATTATATTTTTTATTTAAAAAATTATGATAAATTTCAATTATTAAAAATAAAGAGATAAATAATTAAAATCTTATATAAATATAATATATAAAATTTATATATAAATAAATCTCTACTCATTTAATAAAATTATATTTTGTTTATACAACTTTATATTAAAAAAAGTATTCATCTCACTGAAAAATCACAACCATTACGGTACGTACTTTTAAAACAAACAAATGAATGCTCTTACGTCTTACCCTTTTTGGTCCTTCATTCAGAGTTGAAGACGGTTGTGTGCCTTATGGCCTGTAATATACTGTAAACGCAAACGCGGAAACAAAATATTATTGAGTCTTTTGTACTACAAATTAAATATATAATTAATATATTAATTTTTAATTTTAAAGTTATATAAAAAACAAAAAAAAAATTAAAATTTACTTTTAAGATTAGAAAAATTAAAATATTTTAATAATTAAAATATTTAAAATAATAATAAATTA